TCCGCCACGGGGCTCCCCTCCATACACCCCTCCTGCACACGCACCCGCACACCCGCACACCCCCGCCTACCGCCGCCCTCACCCCCACCCCCGGGCTCCATAGGGATAAATGTGGAAATGGCTCACAAGAGGCTCCAACGCGCTGCTGCTGCGGCAGAATGCGGTCTCCGGAGGAGGATGCGGTTCCAGACGCTTCGCAGCCGCAGTCGGGGTGGGGGGGGGGAGGGGCCGAGCCCCAGACCGAGGCTGCTGTTGCTGGGGAGACGCAGGCTGGGGGAGGGGAGCCCGGAGCCTGCCCCCCACCCGGGCTGCACCGGGCACCACAGCCTCACACCCCCTCCGACGCGCGCGCGCGCGCACACACCTCACGCAGGGCACAGCGCTCTGGCCAGCTGAGGCCTGACTGCTCCTGCACCTGGGCGTGTGGGGGCTCTCCGCCTTGGCTTCGGTCAGGCTCTCAGACTCTCCCTCCCGCCTGCCTTGGTCAACTGGGTTGAGGTCCAGCTGGGTTTGGCCCCCACCCACTCGGAGGAGGGCCTTCTCCGGTTTCAGGGTCTGGAGCTGGGGCTGTCCGCTTTCCTTGGGCGTGCCAGGCACTCCTGGTCACTGTTGCCCCGGCACCTGCTCGGTGCTGGCAGAGAAGGCGCTCAGCAGGTGTTTGGTGGGTGTCCTGGGAGACGTGACCCCCCTCCCCCAAGGGCTCAGCCCCGCTCACAGCTGGAGGACAGCGACGGCAGCAGCTGGATCGGCGCTCCACCCCTTTCGCTGTTGAATACCGTCCCGTGTTCAGATGGGCCTCCTTTTATCCGTCCATCCACACAGGCCTCTGGACCGTGGCTGGTTTTGTCTGTTCGCGTTGCATGGGTGCTCTTGGAGTCCTTGTGCGGACACAGCTTCATTTCTCTTGGGTGGGTACCTAGGAGTGGAGTTGCGAGGGAGGATGGTAGCTCACATTTCACTTTTAAAGAAAATGCTAAAATAAAATTTTTTTCCGAAGTGGCTGCACCATGGTACATCCACCAGCCATGTATGAGGCTTCAGTTTCTCCACACACCCTCCTCAGCACTTGCTACTGTCTGTCTTTTTTTAAAAAAAATTATAGTCATCTCTATGAGTTTGCTAGTCCCACCCCCTGACCTCAGAGGAGGGGAGAGGGGCTGGAAGTTGAACCAATCACCAGGGCTTAGGATTCCATCAATCATGCCTATGGAATGAAGCCTCCATAAAAACCCGAAAGGACAGGGTTCGGAGAGCTTCCGGGGTGGTGAACACATGGAGATTTGGGGGGACGTTTCCCCAGACCTTGCCTATGCATCTCTTCCATCTGGCTGTTCCTGAGTTGTATCCTTTTATAGTAAACCAGTGATCCAGTGAGTAAAACGTATCTGGGTTCTCTGAACTATTCTGGCAATTTGGTCCAACCCAAGCAGGGGGTCATGAGAACCTCCAACCTATAGCCGGTCGGTCATTGTTATTGGTGACCAAATTCATTAAAGGCCTCGGTGCCAATACAAAATGGTCAAGCATTCATGTCACCAAAGAACTGAACCCAACACCTTTCAGTGCATGGGACCACACCCAACCAACTGAGCTGCAATGGCCTGGGTGATGTCCAAATATATTTCATTGTACATTTGAAATGTGTAGTTTACCATTGGTCAATCAAACCTCAATAAAACTGTTTAAAGAAAGGCCCTTGTGTGCCTGGCAGTGGCCATAGGGTCTGAGTTTGAGCCCTTGCAGTGATGGGCCCAAGACAGAGTCCCTTCCCCAGGCTGAACCCCAGACCTTCACTCAATGGCTTGCCAGCCACTCAGGCTCTCTGAGAGGTCAGGACACCAGCACCCACATGGGAGCCTCTGCCAAGCCCTGAGGGACAGAGACCCAGGAGCCCCCAGTCATCCAGCTCCCACAGTCACATGGCTGTAGGAAGGTCTGGAGGAAGAGTGACCTCAGGGACACTGGAGTCTGGGGCCAATGGCTGGCGGGAATTTCTTCCAACCTGAGACCCAGTCTGGCATCTCGCCGGGTGCCCTCAGAGCCTCACAGACTCCTCTTCAGGCCAGCCCTCTGCCTGGGCAGCCCCTACCCTCCCATCCTTTGCACCACCCAACCCTGATTTCCCAGGACACCTCAGGCTTCTTTAGTCAGTAGGCACTCAACCACTGGGCTGAGGGAACACAGGCATGGGGCCCAGCTGGCACCCCAGGCAGCTCAAGCCCTCCACCCAGGGCCGTCCTACCCCCATCCCACCAGCACCACCTCCAGACCAGCCCTGCCACCTGCCCTCCTGTCTTTGGGGCTGAAGAAAGGGCCTTGGTCCCCTCTCTAAGGGCCACCCCAGTGTCTGCAGCTGGAGGAACTGATGCATAAGCCTCCACTCCACTCAGGACCACCTGAGTAGCGGCTGTACCTACCTCCAGGCCTCCTGCAGTGTGGAGTCACCACAGCCCCCAACCCAGGTTCCCAGGTCCTTAGGTTGCAGAAGGGTGTCTACCTGTGTGACCTCTGTTCTCACACTCAGGAACTCACCAAGTCAAGAGGCCCAGACCTACTGGGAGGTGGAGGCCTACTTCCCATCTGAGGCTCCATCTCAGGCACCTGGGGGCTGCCCTCGGGAGCCAGCAGCCTCCCTGCGCTCTGCCTTTGTGAGTGAGAATGGTATTGTTGCTTAAAACTTTGGACTGAACATTGACACTTTTCCACCATATTTCTTTAAAAAAATTTTTTTAATTGATTTTAAAAAGAGAGAAAGGGAGAGGTAGAGAGATCAAAACATTGATGAGAGAGAAACTTCAATCAGCCACTTCTGCATGCACCCATTGGGGATTGAGCCCAAAACCCAGGCATGTGCCCCGACTGGGAATAGAACCAGTGACCTCTTGGTTCAATCACTGAGCCACACCGGCTGGGCTCCATCATTTTTCAGATAGAGAGAGTTCCAGCCAGTCAGCAGCCCCCCAAGGACCTGCCGGTCACGTGCCCTGGCTGGGTGAGGTCTGCTGGTAGTGTTGTCGGGCTCAGGGGTCCTGATTCCTCACCCGTCTAGAACAGGGCTTCGGGGGCCAGCACCCCCTTCTTGAGGATGAGGTTTCCGTAGAGGGCCGTCTCCCTGCACAAGGAACTGAGCTGAGCCCAGAACCGAGCCAGGGTGCCCAGACCCCTGCTGTGCACCACCGCTGGACAGCTCAGTGACCCCATTCCCTGGGGAGCATCTGTCTCAGGGGGGGCAGGGGCTGAGCAGAGGGTGGGGGAGCTCTGGAGTGGGGAGAGGGAGGGCCTCACACTCAGCCCAAACCCAGTTGGACTCAGGCAACCCATCAAGACCCAGTGGATCCAGCCAGAACTCACCCAGTTGCTACAACAGCAAAAGCCTTCTTGGCTTGCTGATAAAACTCAAACCTCTCTATCTTCTCAAGGGGGCTCTGGAAGGCAAACCAATGTGGTTGAGGGACCCTGCCCAGAAACCCCATGGGCCCAACAGGGGCATCAGGAGGCATGGTCTCTCTGAGCTTCATTTCTCTGGTTCTCCAGGCCAGGGTCCCAAGGATGCTCGGCCTCCTACCTGCAAGGACCAGGCACTGGGGGGTGCAGAGGGGAGGGAGGCAGGCTGTGGTGGGTGAGATGCCTGCTGTGCTTGGTGGCCGCCTGCCTGGGACCCCTGAGCCCCTCTGATCTGCCCCAGGGGTGGGGTAGGGGAGCCACTGTCCAGGACAGGAGACCCAGATGTCCTACCTGAAGAGAGGACCCAAGACCTGCCTGTGTGGGTGGTCCTTGGAGAACAGGCTTGACCCCTTGCAGGGTGGCATGGCATCGGGGGTGTCACACAAAATCAGACCAGGCCTCTGACCACAAGATGGGGGCCTGGGGTACCCTACTTGCCCTGGCTCCACTTGGAGAGCCTGGGGTGGATAAGGGCCCTAGGCAGACAGGTCAGGATCCTGGGAAAACATAGGAAGCTGGAGGCCGGAGGGTGGTCCCACGGTCATGCTCCCACTGCGGGTGAATAGGCGCTCACACAACCATGGGGCAGAGTTTGGGGCCTGTCCTTCCTTCCTCCCAGGCCTCCAAGGAAGCGTAGAGGGTTCCAACCCCGTTCTCGGTGGGGGCAGCAGGCTCACCGAGCAGCCAGCCTCCAAGAGGATGGACTGGTAGCTCTTCCACACTGGGGTCTGGAGGCCCCTCTCCTTGTCACTGGACACCAGCTCCATGACAGCAGCCTGGAACAGAGGGGCCAGTCTGTCCCCGGGTGCCTCCAGGCCCCCCTTGTTGGGTGATGGTTAGGGCTCTTCTGATCAGGGTTAGAACCCTTTGAGGACACATCTCCCCCGCAACCCCCCAAAGGCAGGTGTGCCCTCTGAGGTCTGGAAAAGGGGCCCTCACCGGACTCTCCACATAGGTGTCCAGTGGCAGCAGCTTCAGCACCGCCTCCAGGAGCTGCGGGATGCCCAGGCCTGAGGGCAGAGTGCTGGCCTCAGATTCCAGCCCTCCCAACCCAGGTGCCCACAGCACCACCTGGTGACTGGACCTGGCCATACGGTCTCACTCAATCATCAGGGACCGACTTGGGCCCAGGGATAGAGGGGCCACAGGCCAACTGCTGCCCCCCTGGTGACACTCATGAAGGTCACACTGGTGTCTCCTCACCCTGGCCGCTGCACCTGTCACTGTCCTGGCACTGGGCCAGCCCTGACCATCCCCTTCACTCTGCACCATGCAGGTTGTTGGGGGTACCCTCAAAACCTATCCACCAGGAGGAGCGCCCTGCCATCTCCTTGACCCCAGAGGCTGGGAGATGCCACCTTTAGCCTGTGACAAGGACAGTGGGGGCTGGGAAGAGGCCTCTTTTGCCCAAGGTGCCCCCGAACCTGTCCCACTTGGCTCCCAGGCCCGCGCTCTCCCATAAAGTGAGTTTCTGATTGTTAAAGTAACACATGCTCATTGTACAAAAGTGGGAAATACAGAAGCCTGTGAAAAGAAGGAACCAGCTCTAATCTTACCACGTAAAGGAAACCTGCTGCCATCGAAGTTCATCTTCTTCTGCACGATTAGACTTTTCTGCCTGTTTTCCACTCTGAATCCTAATTGCTTGTTCTCCACTAATGCGCACAGTGTGTGTGTGTCACTTTTGGTGGCTGCACTGTGATTTTCTTAAACGCCCCTTATGTTCCAGCTTTTCCCACGGCCCACCTGGTCCCACCCTCCTCGGGCAGGAGAGCGCCTGGTCACCTGGCCCAGGATCTAGCCAAGGCTGGCTGGTTCAGCTCCCTGAGTGGGGAGTGGTAGCCAAGGCAACGGGTCAGGATGGGGCCCTCACCCCAAGGCCGCCCTACTCAGTACTGCTGGCTCTGCTCCTACCATCCTCTCTGGAATCTGGCTCAAGGTCCCTCCCAGCCTCACCTCCCGTCCACCGTGAGGGCCAGAGGCTCTCTGAGTATGTGGACACCTGG